AAAAAAAGAAAGATGAATTTAGAATTCTTTGCTTCAAAAACAAAAAAAACAAAAAACACTACGTACTAATTTTGTGTTGTACAACTGTGAAGTTTTAAATGAGAAATAACTGAAATCATCAATATACAGGTACATTGCGCTTCTATTCGGGAAGTTTCTCTGGGGGAAAATTTAGGTCGTAAAAGGACAGTTAAGAAATTTTAAAAAAATAAATTTGACATATAAATTAAATATTTAACGCAACTGAGACTTACTGTTCCTCATGTCTTTCGGAATTTTCTGGTGACTTCTATTTCTTGGTGTTAGCGTGCTGAATTGAAAATGACCGTGTATAAAATTTATTGTCAACAATGCCATTACGCTCAAATCGTCAAATTTAGATTTTCTTCAAAACATTTAACATTTCCTCTGATAACGCGTTCACCATCAGTCACGTGACTATAAAAATCGTGACGTATTTCTGAAGCTTATCAATAAACTTCTAAAATGCAGCAATTTGCATCAAAACTGTGCAAAATTTGACGGATATAAAGTGCAATCATGATGTCATTGAATTGTGAAATCCTACTTGTTTACCTTATAATCTGGACATCTAAAAATTGTTTTTCGATTTTTCTCATAGGTACAGAGAAAATGGCGGATGTTTCACTTCCGTACTAATATTAAAAGTGCAATGAAAAGACAGGTGTATCACTTGCATTGATAATTTTTTTTAAAAGTATTTTTCTAAAGCTCTTCTGTTCTGCCCGTATGCATGTATGTATGAGGAATCTTATACGTTCCTTTAGGGAAAAAAAATTATGCTCCTTCCTTTTCCCTTTGAAGAAGATTGACACTGCTATGCACATCAAGTTTTCGTTATTTTATAAATCAAACTTCAATAACAGGTTGGCGATGATATGTAAATGACTCTTTTCCAATTGAAAATGTTAAAGGACCTCTGATTTTGTGTTAAACCCATTTCAACTACAGTCCACTCAATATCTTAATAATCCCTTACTTGATAGTCATAAACTTTGTAATTATAAATGGATAAGTTCTGATTTGATAAACTAGTAGCCTATCGATTGTCGCGTGAATGAGAAGACACTTTCCCTGCTCTCTTCGTTAATGTCTGACCAGTGGTAGAGCGTTCACTTCGTGATCAGGAGGACCGGATTCGATTCTCGTTCGCCGCGTCAAACCTAAGACGTAAACATAGATAGTGACTGGCATTAGAAGTGAAAGTCACGGGTCTTTTTCATGAGACCTTAAAAACCGAGGTCCAGTGTCACGGTAGGCGTTGGCACGATAAAGAACCCTCTCTGCTCAATGGCCCTGAGTGCCAAGTACAGGTTTAAATTTGAAGCCCTCCACCGGTATAGGATGACGTCTCTATATGAGTGAAAAATTCACGAATGGGATGTAAAACAACATACAATACGTACATCCATCAATCCTTTTTGTCTATCAGACCTTTCTGCTTGTAACGTCACAAAGGGGTTGGCTAGGAGGAGTCCTTACGTGTAAGTCCTCGTTTAAAGGATTGGATAAAAGGGTGCGTATTACCTTAAATTTCTTGTGACTGAGAAGCCCCTGAAACAAAAACTGGGCATCTTAAGACATGTCTTACTCGAAACCTTATCTTCGGATGTAAATAGAAGCCATCTCTTATGAGGTCTTTTGTTGAGTTTTTGCCTTTTCAAAATACATGTACTAGATTTTAAAAAGAGAATTAATCTTAAACGAAACTTTCAATTTTTTAGCACATATTTTTAATTAAAAAAAGCAAAATATATAATTATATTAAAGATAGCTTGCTTCATGAACATGCCCACTTGTTTGCTTAACCATTCCAAATATAAAAAAAATTCTCAACATTTTTTTTCACTTTTTGCCAATTTCATCAGTCAGAATGTTGAGGAATTGTAACTGATAGAAAAACTCAAGTCGACAATTCTTTGAGCATTTAATTGACATTCAAAATTTAGTGTTTTCTACACGTTCTGACATCTTGTAGTAAATAACAAATTTATAACAATTATAATAGAATCAATAACAATGGCAAGAAACTCTGAATATAAAAGACATAATTGACATCATGGAATTATAATTAAAGGATTAGCTAGGCTACAGGTCCTATGGTCAAGTTTACGTAACAATTAGCAATATCAAAAGAATATACAGTGTACAAAAGAACTAATATCCTCAAAAATCTATCCCTTTCACACGGTGACAGAACCCCTTTGGTCCCCGAAAAATGTCGTGTCCCTGAGTTTTGTCTGTTATTGTCGGGGACACTTCAATGTACTAAAGCCATATTTTGGTTCCTCGGACAAGGGTTCGATCCTCGGGAAAGAACGCTGTAACTTTATGGTCTTGTGTAGGTATTCCTACACTGGGAAGTTCTTCTCCGTTGAATTGCCTCCAAGTCCTTCTTGCCGTTGCTCAAAAAGCGAAGTCACGTGTTAACTCTATTAGTGTCAAATATTAGAAATGCACTGTTCATCTGTCCTCACTTATCTCTAAGCAGCACTTAATAGCTTGATTTCTCAGTTAGCATTAATTTACTGAAAATTATATTAGCCGATAGAGGTCACTATTAAGCACACAATTGTGACGAGGCCTAGTATGTACATGTATAACATTTCCATAATCTAAGGAAGAGAGTGACATTGCTTTTTTTAGTAGAAACTAGAAATCGATGTTTTAAAAATAGATAATGCAAACTTTCTTGCAGTCATGGGGAGTGAACTCCATTTATCAGTAATAATTACAGGAGCAAACATTGACTTATGTTTGTAATATAGGTATATTGTAACTTTGTGAAATTCTCGTACTGTAGTTGGTTGAATTACAACACATAGCAGGGGGCATACATGTATCACTCAGATAATCAGGAAATAGTTTATAAATTTTGAATATTGTTGTTAATTTAGTAATTTTTCTTCCTTCTTGTAAAGATTCCCACCCAGTTATAAAATAAAGCGAATCTTTAGCAGCAAATAAAGTTAGGCCATGACAGCACATAGTTGTAATTTTTTCTATTTTTTCACTACCACCCATATTACATCGTCCCCATACCAAAGAAGCATATTCTAATTGTGGTTTAAGGAAGGTTGTGTACATTTCCAGTTTACTAATAATTTAAGTTTTTTTCAGAGACCCAATTTCATTTGCTAAAGAGAATGATACATGTATCAATTTGTGTAGACCAACTAAGATCATGAGGAAAAATAATCCCTAAAATGTCTATACATGTATGAGGAAACGAATTCTAGTTGACTTTGCTGGAAGAAGTAAGAGTTTTGGGTAGTAAACTTTTTTTTCTCATTCTGAAAATTTAAGACGCTATTTTCTGTACCAAGTTTATAGCTTAGAAGGATCAAAATTAAGTTCGTTTTCAATGGTAATGACAATTTCGAAGAACTGCTGTAGGGTATGTTGTACATGTATAGGGTTGATGTAATATAGTATAAACAGTAAAGGAATATGTGTGAGCGTTAACCTGGAATCACCGTGTTCCTCTGTTCGTCAGTGTGAACATATGGTACATCTATGGATGCTTATATAGTCTGACGTATGCTTCTGATGCTGCATTTGACCTACATTCTATGTCTGAGCAAATCGATATATTTAAACCAGTTTACAACTTAACACATAAGAGATACACAAACCAAATATGCACTCGTGATGCATCAAGAAGTTTAATAGCATGGGATGCTGTCTCTGACTGAGATATATCATGCTGGCGTGGCTATGGTTAAGGTTTACCTTAAGGCATGTTTTTAGCTTATCTCGAATGATATAAAATCTTGTGCAAATTTAAACATTTTTGAGTTTAACATGCAGGAAATGCATGCTGCATCTGACCTACATATTCATTCCAGTGACATAAGACAAGATTTAGATAACGGACACCTGTAATTTTATCAGTAAGTTGCAAATAAGTCCAAGATCAAAAAATCCCCACCTCTGGACAGGGTTTTTCCTTCTAGGACTTTTATTAGTAATTTTCTGATAAAATTTAGGTGCCTGTGTGTTACATGTAGATCAATTTAAGCTACATGTAACTATAAGAGATATACAATATTAATTTAACATAACTTCTGCGGATAGTTCTATCTATGCAGTATTTGAAATAATTTGTTTTTGAGTGCATATTCCCACTTCATTATCGATATTGTCTCGTTAGGAAATCTCTACTTTCAAATTACCCCCCATCAAATGCGAGTATACATGTACAATGTAAGACCAAAGTTGACTCGGTGAAACATTTATTCGTTTCAGTCGTTCGATCACTTAACCTTTGACTTCCCTTGTGGTAGAAAATGGTCTTTAAACGTGATGATCCAGAGGAATGTCTGTCTGTTTACTTTTCTTTGGGAGTGTTGACTGCAAAATACAAGCGATAAAGTTTACCACATAATGATATGGACAGAGATAATGAGTTTCGCAAGATGAACTTGATATCGAAGTTTGTATTACGTATACACTGACCATCTGACCTGAGGAATAAAGATGTATATGTAGATAAATTAGATAATAAGTAAGAATATATATATATATATATATATATATATATATATATATATATATATATATATATATATATATATATATATATATATAGGTACTGAGAATATGTTTTAGACTAAGTGCACACTTTTTCCTTCTTAGATTTTCAATTTATATGTAAAGATTTTAAAAAAAAGGCCTCGTACATGTACATGTACCATGTCACATACCTATTACAATATATAAGTACACATAGTTATACAAATCCTATTATTAAACCATCAGTATTTTGCTTTTGGGCAATTCTCTGTCATTCCGTGGACATTGGGTAACCCTTTTCACTGATATTCAAGAAGTTTACAATTAATCACCGTGTGATTTTATAAGATTATAAAAAAAGATCCCAATTGTTAAAATACCGTGAACATTTAATGATAATGGATTTTACATTCCCCCATCTTTATCTTCAGGGTCAATTATACCAGCCTTCTACAGACTCATATCTAACTTCATTAGAATTATTATCAAGGTTTCTTAATCCCTCGACAAATAAAAAGATCCAGGCTAGCCCAGATTGGACATTATTGGAATAATTACTACCACGCTGACCGATAAAGAGGGCGCGTCCTTCTGTACAAAGAACAGACAGCGGCGTTTGTCAACAAAAACATACCCGCGCACAAAATCACTCATCTGTGGACGTTTAAACAGGGAAAATATTTAGTGAATGGAGAAAAAATACGTTCTTTAAACATTGTAGGCGACTTTGTTCAATTCAGGCACGTGTGTAAGCCAAGCTGAGGTATTTGTGACCGCTTTATTTGAATTTTGAAAGGCATCGTTGATCGTGTGAATTTTTTGCAAAAAATCATTTCTTTTTTTTAAAAAGTTATTTTGAATTTTGTAAAGGAAATTTAAGCAATGGCGGACTCTGAAACCAAATCGTCCGAAGTGAAATTGACCATCACAAATGAAAATGTTAAAACCCGAGATGTTACGGAGGGAGAAGAAATTGACCTTCATGAAAGGGATCCCAACAACTTACATGAAGATCTCAAGGTAAATTATGAATTACTATTTCTGCATATCAATTAAGCTCTATAAATACTGCAGATAAATAGCTTGATTGATTTCAATTTGCTCTCCTAGTGAAAACTCCTCTTCTTTTTCTTGCAAAATTTAAATATTTTCTTGAAAATAATTTAAGCATTAAGAATGCAGGTTAATTGACGTGCGTGTCCAAGAAAAAGTAAAAGCACGGGAAGTTTCTTATTGATAAACATAGGATGTTGTGCTTAATATGCTGTCTCTTGCCCCCCCCCCCCCAATAACTGAAATACTTTCAAGGCGAAAAGAAACAACAGAGTATTTATTTAGAAACAAGAATATAGCTATCTTTCTGTTTTGATGCAAGTGCATGCATATGCAACGTAAACCGCTTTACTATCTTATAATTTATCTGTGCGCTAACACGAGCAATTTTTCTTCTGCATAAAAAGCGAATAGTCACGTAATATAAAACTGAATTGCCACTTTTGAATTCTTGAAGAAAATGACCACCTAATCTACCAGCAATCTCCAATAATCTGATCTATTTGCGGCTAGGGATCTTTTTCCTCTCATTTCTGTGTAAATTGTTTACATTTTAACATTCTTTCCAGATCCAGTTTCACGAAATTATAGGCGAGCCTCATGAAGATGTGTTCTCTTTTGACTGTGTATGGGTCAACAGTTATAAGGTTTGTACGACCATTACTCTGGTATTCTAAGCCAGGGACCAGCTATTTCATTATTTATCAGTTGATTGGCCGTTAAGTGGACATACACATGTCAGTAAAAACCCAATATTCCTTAAATAAACCTGTTTGTCCAATTTCTTATTCAGCTTTAATACAGTTTCCTCCAGATATTCGACAGTAGAATTGCTTGTGAGGTATAATCGAAATACCATTGATTTATTTGTGTAACTGACTAGGGTAATTATTTACATTAGCATCAGCTGGCTTCGGTTTAAAGGGAAAATGTGCTGCTCGCGTTAAAAGTCGTTATTGACTATCAGTTGGTAACATGGTATATCATTTTTTGAGGGTAACATCTAAATTTTCTAATTGCTCTGAATACACAAAGTTTTCTGTTGACAGCTGCAGAAAAGCGCCGTGGACGCCATGTTTTTCACTACTTTCTTATTTTACGTATTAATATTCAGCATGAGGATGCGTGGGACATTTCATCAATAAAACGTCTATCTCCCCATCACAAATTACTAAATGGCGGACGGTGATAGCGCCACCTCTTGGGAAGCAACACAACTACGATATGAATACATACACGTCTGCAGAACACGCAGGTTTATCCGTGTCTCGAACGACGTCACTTTACACTTTATACTAGCGAACTAGGTCATTTTAACTCTTGATCGTTAGTAGTTTAAAAAACCTTAAAACTTGTGACATTGATTCCTTTTACATCTGATTTTCACCGAATCTAAACATAAATACCGAATACATTTTTTTATGTCTTACTGAATCTGAACGCAATAAACCTTAAATGATATAGCCCCGGGACTGTCAAAATTTTTAAGCTCTATCGCACAAGAATACTCTAAATAGATATCATTCTACCTTTCTAGGCCAAGCTTAATTTGGTTGAAGTGTCAATGTGTTGTACTGTCTAATAAAATATGTTTCAAATTTTTAGATTTTATCAAAGAACACATATAACATACTGCCAATAAATCATAATATATGTACATGCCTGCTGAAATTAATCCATATGAACATAAAAAAAAACAAACACCTAGAAATTATTACATAAAATTATGCTAAATTATCTTTTTGGTTCTGAATTCTTTATGTCACGCGAGATGTCGTCACCTTTTGCAGCCACAGTACGTGCATTTGCACGATTTCGGGCCAATGCAACCTATTCTGCATGTGCATATACATAAGGAAAATTGCCTGTTATAAATTATCCATAGATCGATTATTCAGACCGTAGTTCAATAATAGAAAAAAATGTGTAAAGATACATTTTCATTCTGATTGTCGGTAGTAGAAGATATGTAACTGTATATGTATACTATTAATAAATACCATATATTGTACATAATTTTATACATGTAATATGGTATGTAAATGAAAAAAAAATCAAACAGAAATCTACACGTAATTATCATTCATTCTTGTGAAATTTACCCCCCCCCCCCACCAAAAAAAGTATGGCATGTATCCCCATCGAAGAATGTGTTAGTGAATGATATTTCTTATATCAAATTGTATGTCTTTATTTTGTTGAACACTACAAGTAACTATTTCGGAAAATCTCTTTCCTTGTCAACAAACTGTGAATCATTATACATTGTAAATGTTTATATTTGTAGCAAATGTTCATCATCTCTTTATTCTCTCATTTAATTTTTTTTTTTTTTTTTTGCTCTCAAAATCAATTATTTTCCAAAAGAAATCTAAATCATAAATGAAGTGCAAACAATTTTATCATACTTTGCAGTGCAAATATTAATAAAACTTGTCTTTTAACTTCACAATTTTTTAGGGGAATGGTAGTCCTAATCAGAGTGAGTAATTCCAGCTAGAGTTATCTCACTTATCATAGGGTCAATGGACCTTAATTGCAACATGTTGTTCGATATTCTGCATTTTGTTCGAAAATGTACACATGACATAGGCATCGGAACCGGAGGGTGGGGGTAGGGGCTATAGGCCCCCTTTTTTGCTAAGATAGACATAATATTGCAAAGATACATATAATATACATGTAGGCAATGGAATTTGGGACTTGTGGTGTGTTCGACGTAGAAACTTTTATGTTAGTTTAGCCCCTCCCCCCCCCCCTCCTTTTAATTTGCTTCCGACGCCTATGCATAGACGCAGGGAATAGACTCTTGTTCACTGTCATTTATGATTAAGAATTATTTTTTTTTTCTTGTTTTCAAAATTAATGATTGTTTGTGTGAACCTTATCTTCACTTTAACAAGGATATTATAAATTAATAACACCCAGTCACGTAATTAGGGAAAACGCTTAATACTTGCTAAATGAAACGTTAAGAAAACTTTCACTTCCGGGACACTTGCAGCTGTCTCCACATTTACATCCGTGTCTAAATGATTGTACATCCAGTCGATGGGCATGCGCCCGAGCAAAGACAGTTACCCCTTAAAGAAATCAGGTTTTTCTTATGATTCCAAAAGAAGGACAACTCATAACAACAAACAGTTGAATGTGATGTACATTGTACTTACTTTCAAGGCATTTGCATGGGTCAGACATTTCTTTTTTTCTTTCTTGGCGTTCCTTGAAATAAAGGGAAAAAACCCTAAGAAAATATCTGAAGATAGTTAAATAATATATGATCATTGAATTATTTTGTTTTCAACAATATTTCACATTATTTCACCAGGGAATTTCAATGATTAATTTTCCTTCAATCGATGATTTATTTTCCTACAAAAACGTACTTTTGTACGTACATGTATGTGTTTAATTACAGTGTAATTGAAAAGAACTTCCCCTGATTAACAATAACACTTGTATAAATGCTTGCTTCAGGTAGTGTTATCAGATAAATTGAATAATTAAAAGTACACAATGCGTATACATACGTCTAATCAGTAACTTGTGCAATGGTACACTTCATTCTTTTGACTGGCACTAAGATTTTTTTTTTAATTTCCGGCAGATTTTTTACTTACACTATATGGTCTGATGCAATGAAATTTATTATTTGATTTCGGATTTTTACTGAGAATACTATATATGGCTCCCGTTTTAACATTTTCACTAATAATAAAATACGGTACAATGAAATCAATTCTATTGATTTCAGAAATTTATCCAGACTTTTAAAAAGCATAGTCATAATGCAGATTCTTACTGATAAATATAGATGTCAGAAAGACATTTAGACATGTAACTATAACATCTTTATCTTTCGATTTCAGATTTTCACAAACACCAAGATTTGGTGCTACAGAATCACTAGCGTCATCTGTGCCCTCCCGGTGTCGTTTTGTTGGGGGATCTACTTCGCCTGTTTCGCCTTCCATAACATATGGATCCTTATGCCCTGCCTGAAAGCCTATGGAATGAACCTCCGTATTCTTAGATCCTGCTTCAACAGTATTATAGAGACCTTCGTCAAGCCCTGCTATCTGGCGGCCGGTTATATTTTCTATAATATTCGGATAACGAAGGGGAGTGGTGACTGAGGGGTAGACGTTTGTAAAATAGGTCAAAATATGTGCACAATATATTGTACTGTTCAATACTCGTTTGTTTTAATTCTTTTGTATATACGAAACAGGGCACTAACACCATCATCTACGCATTTTGTACACTTTTAGTGAATTTCTTTGTATGTTTACTGTTTTACTTAAACACATGTATCATAAAGTTTATGATATTACATGTGTGATACTGAATTATGCATGGAATATACGTGAAAATAAACAAAATTTTAATCAGCTACATATGTTTTTTTTTTTTTTTTTTTTTTTTTTTTTTTTTTTTTGGCGTAAACCCTCTTAAGGTGGAATGCTACACCAACATTTTATTTGATGTATCTTTAGGACACCCCTTTTAAATTATTTAAGATTTAAAATAATATATCCTTTATCATCTATACTATTTTCACACAATCGAGGATTTCAGCAGACAATCGTAGATTTTCTTTCTCCTTGGATGAGTTTTCTCACTTTTTATTATCCCATGAATGATAAATTGTCCTTTTCTGGGGAAAAGAGCGGTTAGAAGATTTCAATATTTGAGTTAATGTGAAACTATTATATCTCACTTGGCAGGGAATGGAACAAGCCAAGGTAGCCGATCGAGTGGTAGGGCGTTCGCTTCGTGATCGGGAGGCCGGGGTAAACATAGGTAGTGACTGTTTCTTCGCCAAGAATTAAAAGTGAAAATCACGGGTCTTTCGGACGAGACCGGTCCCGTGTCATAGTAGGCGTTGGCAGGATAAAGAATCCCCATTGCTCAAAGGCACTGGGTGCCGAGTATAGGTCGAAATTTGAAGTCCCTCACCAGCATACGATGACGTCTCTTTATGAGTGCAATTTCTCAAATGGGACGTAAAACAACATACAATTGCAGGGAATGGAGAAGGGCATGATGTTTCTTTTTGCTGTTTTCTTATTTTGTCTCTTCTGTGGCATGTCTCTGGGTTTAAATACATGTACCAGAATATTTCATGATAGAACTCACGACTGCTAATGAATGCCCCCCCCCCCTTCCAAACAAAAACAAACAAATGAAGCTCTTTAAGGTGTATATCAATTTTTTTTATTTATTCTTTAGATATATATACTGGAGGGAGAACAATACTGAAAAAAGCTTTCATTTTTACATGATGTCTCTTCATCCAATACTAAAAATCCACGGTTATTGACATTTCTCAGCATCAACAACGGCAATTGATTGCGAAAAAAAAAACAAAGCGAGGAATTTTAAGCCTTATATTATATCTTTGAATTATTATTTTTTTTTATTTATTCTTTACATTATAAAGAGGGAAATAAAAACTGGTGTAGCTTCCAGTTTTTGCACGATACTGACTGATATGGAGTATGCTGGTAATTTTATCCTAGTATAATTTCAAATGTATTGAAACCCCTTTTTGTAATGGAAACAATGATTTTATACATTTCAGTTGCTTCTTTTCTGCTTATCTTTTTTCTTAACTTTACCTTCCCGTTAAATATTGTGAATTTTACTCTTAAGCTTGCTTGACCTATAATCCACTCTAAAGTCTTAGATATATATAGGATACAAGCTCGCTATTCGTTAAGGAGAACTGAATATTTGCATAATGTAGAGACGTTGTGCCTACGTCGTTCAAAGGGAAATAATGAATTGAATTGAATTGAACATATTTTATTGACAAAGTCAAATGGAACGGACACAAGTTCAGAAACTTAGATAGTCTTCTCCTGGTACAACATTTTGTAAAATTGCCAAAATAAAAACATATATACATAATATGGTCTATACTACATATATATCGTAGTAATAGAAAGAACAAAAATAAGTTCTTTAAGTGTACAAGTATAATTTGAATTGGTAAGAAGAGAAAAAAAAAAGAAAAAAGTAAGCTTATTTTGAAAAACGACCACATTCATTTAAGAAAGTTTGAATAATTTTGAAAAGTTCAGCATTTTGTTCAATAGTAAGAGAATCATCGCCCCATAGCATTAAATGTACATCTATAACATATAAATAATTAAATGACAATAGCTTATTCAATAAGGAATTCCTTGCTTTTACATAATATTTACAAGCAAAAAACAAATGATATGCATCTTCTAGTAGTCCACAAGAACAATTAGGATTGGTTATTAGGTTACAGCGATATAAGTCAGAATTTAAAATACAATTATGTCTTAATCTTGTATGAATTATGTTCAAAAACCTTTTTCCATATGAAAAATATTTCTGAGGTTTTACAATACTGTTGTGCAGATAGTTTTTAAAGATTTTGATAGAAGTTGCCTCCCTTGTTTTAAGACTAAGAGAATTCCACTTTCTAACAGTATCAGGAATAAATGATTTATTATACAGTTCTAATCTGTATTTTGGCAAAGAATAATTTAAGGAATTCCTGGTAGTGTATCCTGAAATATTGCCTCTTGTATCAGGTACTAAATTTTGTAAATAATTAGGTACTAAATTATTGTGCATTTTATACATTGTTATTAGTTTTGCTCTGTTTCTTCTGTATTCCAATGGTTCCCAACCTGTTTCCAAATATAATGAATTTCTTGAAGCAATAATTGTAAGCCCAGTAACTATTCTTGCAGCAAATAATTGTACTTTTTCAAGATTCTCAATGTCTGTTTTTGTGCATCCAGACCAAACTTCAACAGCATATTCAAGTAGTGGTCTAATAAAAGATATATACATCTGGGATAGAATATCTCTTGACACAGTAAATTTTAGTTTTTTAAGAAGCCCCAGTTTTTTGTATGCTTTCTTTATAATGATATCAATATGATCAGACCATCCTAAATTGGACGACAGAAGTATCCCAAGATGTTTGTGTTCTGTAACATATTCCAATTGGCAATTGTCAAAAAATAATTTAGGAAACTGCTGCACATTTTTTGAATTAAAAAATACAGCTTTGGTTTTCTGTGGGTTAAATTCCAATAACCATTTCTTTGACCATTCATCTAGTATTCTAAGATCATGGTTAAGATTTTGCTCAATATGATTAATTATCTGAACATTGTTGTAAGGAATTATCATCAGCATATAATCTACAAACAGATATCATATTTTCAGCCACATCATTTACATACAATAAAAATAACAAGGGACCGAGTACTGAGCCCTTGATAACTATCAAACCAATCTAGCATATCACCATTGATTCCATACATTTTTAGTTTGTAAATTAAGCCTTTATGCCAGACTCTATCAAATGCCTTGGATAAATCACAAAACACCATACAACAGAATTTACCTTCATCAATATTTTTTACTATAGAATGGTATGTTTCTAAAAGTTGATATACTGTGGAATGACCTGGTAAAAAACCTGCTTGATATTTATAAAATATATTATGTGAATACAAGAAATTGTATACATGTTTAAAAATGATTCTTTCAAAAATTTTGCTTATACAACTCAGCAAGGAAACGGGTCTATAATTTGTAGTGATGGACGGGTCATCTTTCTTAAATAGTGGAAGAACATGTGCTAGTTTCCAGCAGTCTGGAAAAGTTTTTAATGTTAGGGATTTGTTGAAAAGTATACAAAGAGGTTTTGAGATAGCGTCTTTGCAAGATTTTATCATTTTATGGCTGATGCAATCAGGACCAACTGCTTTATTAACAGGAATAATAGAAATTATATCAATAATTTTCTGTTCTTGTATTTTTATATCCGGAAAATTATCCTTACATCTAGACACTATATTTGGAAGCTCCTGATTACTGTCATCTAAGACTGTAATTGATGTGAAATATTTGTTCAATAGCTCAATTTTATCTATGTCTGAAAATGCAAAACTTTCAGTGCCATTGTTGGCTGTAAACTGAATAGGTGGAATTTCATTTGTTGGTTTAATGTGAAAAGTGTCTTTCAGTAACTTCCAGTATAGTTTTTGATTGTTCAGACTAGCATCCTTAAGATGAGAATCTATATTGTCATAATAGTTTTTGATAGCATATTTTTTCATGCTATTAAACTTATTCCTTACCTTCCAAAAAGTTTCCAAATCAGATTCTCTTTTTGTTTTTTGTGCTATTTTTCTTAGCCTATTGCGAATACGCAAAGTTTTCTTTAGAAGAGAATCCATCCATGGTTTATCATTTGGCCTTATGGTTACAGTTTTTTCGGGTACGCATTGGTGAATAATAGAATTAAACTTTTCCGTGAAGTTTGCTATTGCAGTATTAATGTTTTCTGTAGCATCAATAAGGCTATTCCAGTCACATTGTAGGATTAAATCATTAAGAAGTTCTAAATCTGCATGCTTATAGTTCCAAATTTTACGTTTATATGCCGCATTAACATTGGTATTCTGGTGAATATATATATATATAAGTTGCTTTATGATCACTAACTGTATTACTAACTTTTAATGTTCCAGAATCATGTACATGTATATTGTCACTAATAATGATAGGATCTATAAGGGTTTCTGTATTTTAAGTAATTCTTGTACGCTCATGTATGATATTTGTTAATCTACAGCTGTTCATAATTGTAAGAATCTCATGTGAGTTGTTAACTTTTAAGAAATCAGTGTTAAGGTCACCAAGTACTACAATATTGCTGGAGATATCACAAGCTTTTTCAAAGGACCAAGATAGTTTTTGCCAAAAGACACTATTAGTGTGTGGTGGACGATAAATACAGCATATAAGTAGATTTCCCTTTACTTGTGGTATTTCTATCCAAATGAGTTCAGTGTCAATGGGTTCTAAATCTTCTCTTCGACTAGCCTTAATTAAATTTGAAACATAAATCATTACACCTCCACCATAAGAATTGCGATCTTTTCTGAAGATATTCTTAAAACCTTCTATGAACAAACTTTCATTTGTAAAATGTGTGTCTGAATGAGTCTCACTAAAACATAGTATATCAAAATCTTGAACTAAATACATTAGGGAATCAATCTTATTTCTGATGCTTCTAATATTAAGGTGCAGGATATCAAGAGAGTTTGGAGCAGGTGGACCTTGGTTTGTTTCAATATCACCAGATAGCAATAGAATGACAAACATGAATAATTGTGCAAAAAAATTAATTCTGAGAGACCAAGATGCCATATTTTTATATTGTTTTTTGAAGATACTGGATATGAATAACAAAATATCTAATAGTGTAGGAGATTTTGAAACTTTGAAAGCAGACCTTGACAGTATATTATGACATTTAAAGTAAAAAACCCCAAGGGAAATAATCTGACTTATCAAACTTTACAACAGAAGTAACATTATGCAAATTTTAAATATTCAACGAGACACAAGGAAAGATTTTGGCTTTGTTGTGCCCTGAAAATTTGATATTTCAAACAGTTTTAAAATTGGCTAAAATATAATGTGATGTGATAAATCATGAAAGAATATGGGGTGAGGGAGGACCATTCCGGAAATATGACGTCATTTATTTGAAACATTTCTCCATTTTAAACAGAAAAAGCCTCAAAATGACTTATTTCAGGGTTATTTTCCTTAACAAAATAGTGTGCACAGCCGTCGCCCACTTCAACTTTTCATACATGTTGTGTAAAATTCTTTGAAAAATCACTATTAAATAAGAACTCCTTTGTGATCGGTCAACAGGGGATGCTTACTCCTCCTAGACCCCTGATTCCATCTATGAAATTTCCAAGAGTCCCTGTTTTATAATCTGTTCACAAATTTTATAATTTAAAAGATTTTTGAGATTGATCACTGTCCGTTATCTTCACCTTTTTTATTTTGACCATTTGACCTTGACCTTGATGTTTGACGTACTTTTGAAAAACGTTGACGTTTTCCATATCTTTTCAATGGATGCTGCTAGGGCTCTCATATTCTCACAGGTACTAGAAGAAATCCCGCGCAAGCGCGGGGAATTAAATTTATACTACTACCGACAGAAAAATTCCAATAATATATATTGTAGTTTCTACTGAAAACCTACAGGTTCATAGCAGGAAGAAAAACTTTGTTCAAAATCCCGGATGAAGTAGATGTACGTCTCCACCCCCTCCCCCACCCCCACTTTTTGTAAAAACTTGAAAAACAAACTATTTCATTCATTGACGTTTATTATGAAACATGTCATACTATATGGATATTGTACTTCAGGTGCTCTTATTTCATTTCCGTCAAGGATAAAAGCATCGAATATGCACATTTTACTGATAAATTGAATTTTTTTTTGGGGGGGGGGGTAAAAATTAGCTTTTAATGCCCTATGAATAGGGCGAGTGTTTGATACAAAAGATTGTATTCAGGAAAAAACTAAAATGCATTGATTAAAGCACAAAATTTTACAGCTTTAATTGTATTTGAAAAATACCTTATTCATTAATTTTCTCTTTTCATTTAAGCAAGCTTATTACGAAGTACAAATTGTACTTCGGGTTCGTTGCCACGATGTTCTCAGTGAGGAATATACAAATTTTACCGATAAATTTATTAGGAAAACCTACTAATAGTCTTTCGATATATAAATATAAATATTCACAACTTATAGTGTTATCAATGATTTACCATTATTTCATTGAGCATTCACACAAAAGTTTTTTTTAATATTCATGCAGCTAAAATCGCTTATTGTCAGTTTCATTAAAAATTGCCTGTAACTTAGATCCGCCAACCGGAGCCGCCACCGTACACACGTTTTTGCTATTTCATGGCTGTTTATAGAAAATGAAAGTAGATTTTTAATTTAATGTACGATACTTACTATGCGAGTGAAATCTAAATATAGTTTTATCATGTTGTAAATTTTGAATTTACTAGGGGGAGGTAAATGAAAAACTTACAACATGTTGTAAATTTTGCATTTACCTCCCCCTAGTACATGTAAATTCAAAATTTATAACATGATAGTTTACGGACATCATCTTGTATCTAGTGTATTCTTAGCGGAGTATAAAACTCTGGTGCACCCGTTTCGGAGTTTATTTACAAAATTTATTAATTTTTAAGTATAGATATTCCTCAAGACAAGACCTTACTTTGGGTACCAACGTATTTGGTTTGCATTTGAGAAAGTTTAACCTTCGCTATAAGTTGCCATACGGGGGCATCAGTGTTTCACAAATACATCTTGTTTGGATAAACTTTTATTACAGAAACAAGAAATAAGTGCCTGTGCTTCAGTTATAAATCAAGGAATGTAGATGTTTTTTTCCTAAATTATAATACCTGGAAAATAAATAATTATGGAAGCTCTTGATCCCCCTAAAAAGAAATAACAAACACCTGAATTATGGAATATTATACATTTATTATTTCGTTCTTTACAATGGAATTCTGTCACGTGACCAGGCAGTCATTTTTTGCAGAGGCAGTTACTGTCGGTACATTTACAGGATTGAGGTCCGATGCAGCCTTTTCCGCAGGCGCAGATTCCTGTAAATTTCAGAAGCATTTTTATCCAATTGATGAATTTGACCTAAATAACTGACAGCAAAAATATAAAGTATATAAAAGTGAAACAGAAAAATTAAAGTCGATAAATATTTTTGTAGCACAATCAGTATAAAGAAAAGGAAGATTCTTCCCCTCAATATTTTTATAGAGTAATGTTATGTGCCAAAAAGATCATAGTTATAATAAAAAAGAAATAAAATTTGGATTTCTTGGGGGGAAATGGTAGGCAATACTTTTTGTTTGTGTGTTTGTATGAATTCAAGATTTTGGAATACCGCTCCTCCCAAAATTTTAACACAGTAAGCTTTCAGAAAATCTTATGCATGGGTCTTGTAGTATTTTATATGCATTATAGTATTTTATATGCAGTATTATAGTATTCTATATGCAGTATTATAGTATTTTATAAGCAACTTCATTTTAACAAACATTCTGTACATGTATTTGTCCGTGAGAATAACAACTTACCGTTGCAGTTACAATCGATTTTACATCCGGGACACTTGCAGCTGGATCCACATTTACATACGCTTCCACATTTACATCCACTCAATGGACAGGAGTCTGTACACAAACATTTCCCGGCTGAAAGAAAATTTTTAGATATCTAAAGTGTAAACTTTCATACAGACAAGAAAGGACAACTCAGATTACGAACATTGAATCAATTCAAAGAGAGTACATTGATTTAATTCGAAATAGAGAACATACTTGTTAGACAGTTGCAGGAATCAGACATATTTCTTTATTATCGCTGTTACCTGAAAAAATAAATCAATTATTATAATTTATTATCAATTACTGTCATTTTTCTTCATTTGCTTAATACTTACGTAATATCACAATTATATACTAGTAACATTTATACAACAGAGAAAATGGTATGGTATGGCGGTCTGTACAGGATAAATAAGTAAACACAAACATTGTAAATACCGGTAGCTTATGAATCCATAAATAGATAGGACACATCGAAGATTGTGTTTACAACATCTTTTTTTCATTTTTTAACTACAAAGCTAAATGCAATTTTTTTCCCCAAAATTACAAAGCTTATTTTATTAAACTTTTTTCGCCAAATGTAAGATTACATGTATTTTATCTAAATTCGTCAAATTAATGTTGGCTATTATTTAAACTATATTTCAGTATCATCACAGAGTATTAAGAAGGTTTCTTTTACGTACTTATAAAATGGACATACCTTCTTGAAATCGTGTAATACCAGGTCACTATGCACAGAAGGGTGCTTTCTCTTGCTATAACGTAGATTGAATAAAGTATATGCAATCAATGAGCACACTTTATACAATTTGAAACAAATTCGGTACCGTGTGCAAACCGTCATGTTTGCTAAATATCGTGTGCAAAAATGTATAGGGTTCTACTGTACCAGGGCAGGGAAGTATCGTAAGAGATAACAATATACAAATGATTGTATATTCACTTTGCACACGGCACTACCTATACAATGTGTAAATTCCAACTGACGATTAATCATCTACGCTAGCCAAGGGTTATTGGTCCACTCTGGAGCGGAGTGGACCGAAAACCCTTGGCTAGCGAAGATTATGATTAATATGTATAACATGAGTACATACCGTTTTCTTTAAATTGGCAGTCATTTATGTGAGGTGTTTTTAGATTATTAATCAATAATCTTGTAAACAGGAAATCCTCATTACTTTTTTTTTTTACTCTTTGATATATATTCTCATGGATCTCGAAGATTTGAAATAAAAGCTCAAGAATGTACTCGAAAGTGAATATAAAATTAGACATACTATACTAGAGATCTTTAGGTCAACGTCAAATGTATACAAGATGTATGTACGTTTAGGATGAATGAAAATATTATTTCTCACACAATTTTTTATTTATTTACAAACGTATTTATTTATTTTTTGACACATACGTTGTAACTGGACTGGACACCCTATGATTTTTAGTGTTATTAAAAGTTTCATAGTGCACCATGCTGAAAAAAATCTTGAACCCCCGTCTCCCACGCCATCCCGCGTAAAATTCCAGGATGCACACTTCGTGCCATAAATGATAGACTTTCCTGTCGAGGAAGCTACGATTCTTATTAACGAACTGGGATATCACGTATTGTAATTCAGAGTTTAATGGATTGAGTAAAATCTCTCTCTTCCTCTCTCTCTGTGTGTGTGAGGGTGTGTGTGTGTGCGCGCGCTCGCTAATTATACTGCGCTGCATAATTTACATTTGAGAAACAATAAATGATTTACCGTTTTAAAAGTGTCAGTATACGTATTTTTTTTTTTTTTTTTACATTTCTGCTACATAATAACCAGTTATATCAGAGCCCTTGTCGCGTCCCTCTGCTGGTGGAGTGGGGGTGTTACTAGCTTAATATGTGTTCGTTCTCCTCATGCGCGGATCGAGAAATTTTTCCCAGGAGGAATTGTGTATGGTCCATACCCACTTAAGAAAATACTCAAAAGTTATTTGACAAGCTGAAAAATTCTCCAAAGCCGAAAAACTAATTGGGGTGGGGTGTATAAGGTAAAAAAAAATCAAGCTAAAAGTACATATATGGATAGTTGCCAAGAACGGGGAGCTGGTCACAAAATGTGATTTCGACAGATTATATAGAATGTATTACGAATATGTGCACACGTTATACAAATATTCAGTATCGTGTGCAAAATATCGATAAGTTGTATATATATACACAGTATCGTGTGCAAAATGTATAGGGTCTATACAAATATGGTTGATAAGAGAATGAATGTAAACAATTAATGTTGATGTATAAATATTTATATCTTACTGCAAACTTATTGAGTGTAAATTACAGGTAGACTCTGAAATTTGAACAGGAAAAAAGTTGGACTTTATATAATTATATTTTCAAGACGTTCTCTAAATAATTCGCTGACTGTATCAACTATTTTCTAAACGTCGAAATCACATGGTGGTGTGACCTGCTTTCTGTTCTTGTCAAATATCCATAGGAAATATGTACTTTTAGCTTGATTTTTTTTTACTTTATACAAATGATGTTAAAGCGTAAAGAGCTTTAGATTTGTACATGTCATGAGATAAGTAAAATATACTTAACCGTGTGCCGATTGTAGTAAATTTATTTCATGTACCGGTATTACATGTATTAACTTATTGTACTCTCTCTCTCTCTCTCCCTCTCTCTCACTCTCCCCCCTATCTCTCTCTCAAAAGAGAATTTTCACAAACACAATAATATTCTTTCGTGGTGTTGTTTTTTTTTTGGGGGGGGGGGGGGCAAATTTAAAAATACATTACCATGGGAGAATTTGACTAAGCTGCGATAAAAGGGGGGGGGGCAGTCTTTCATTCTAAATTGACAGTAAAAAAATCATCCCCTCCCCCCCTCAATACTACGTGCCCGAGGATGCAACACTCTTATTCGATCAAATACATTTATGACCAGTACTTTTGGGTCTTTTTTTGGCTAAAAATCACCTATAGTACACTTACGCTTAACGATATACCTTAAGCCAGTGTTTCAAAATTTTTGTTCACAAAGCCTTTAATAAGTTTTATCGATAATTATTACCATATATCTATTAAACTCGAAATTTCTATAAAGCCCTCTGTGAAGTACTCTCATAGTTGACATCTGCACGAAGCGTGTCGGACCGAATTGTCTTGCCACCCAAAATGAATTTATAAATAGGTGAAATTTTCTATGGTCTCAATGTCAGGCCCACGAGGGCTTATAACAACGGTTATAAATAGGGATTTTTTAAAAAAAAATTTTAATACATATTTTGAGAATCAAGACATGCAAAATGAACTTGAACACAAACGGAATATTAGGAAATGAGGGGAAAATGAACCACTTACATCTGTTAAATTTTATTCTAATCTGATTACCATTTACTGCACCAATACCATCAGGAAAACCTGCAAGATGCTAAATTTCTAAACATAAATCTATACTGTATCTTGTTATTTAAGAACAATGAACGACAACTCTAATTGCACTGAACCAATTCGAAATTGTGTACTTGCTAGACATTTGCATGGATCAAATGACTTTTTTTTCTTTATTAATGCTGTTTCCTGAAAAATAAAAATACAAGAAAGCTGCATTTGTTTATTTCACTAAACAAAAGACTATATTCTATTTCGTAAAAATATAATGTTGACTATTATAAACTATATTTCAATGACACCATAAAATATTTAGTAAGTTTTTTTGTGAAGCTTAGAATACATGTATTTAATGGACATACCTCCCCAAAACTGTGCAATATTCCTGGACAGAAAGGTGTTTGGGTAGAAATAATGCAGACTGAGTAAAGTATATGCAATGCACAAGCTCATTTTACGCAAACTTTTGTTATCGTGTACAAACAATTATAAGATGTATAATAAGTCCATTAATCGTGTGCAATATGTATACATGTACAGCATATTAAGGGAATTATGTTAATCATGTTTAGACAGAAGCAACACTATACGATATTGATTTTATATTTACTTTGCACATGGCCTTATCTGTACAACGTAAGACTTCGTGCTTGTATCTTGTGACAATGAAATCATAATAAGCTTATTTCTATTCAACATATAAATTCCAACTTGATGTTTCCTGTGGAAACATATACAACGAGAATTTAGTAAAACATTTTTGAAAAAGCACTAAAAATAGCTAATATTTTTTTTTTTATTTTAATTTTGATTTTTTAAAAGAAATTTACAGATGAAGCTGAGATATAAATGTCACATTTAGAATATCAATCAATAATATTGAAACAGGAAATTTCTCATTTGCTTACTCTTTGATGAATATTTTTATGAATCTCATAAAAGGCCAAAATGTACTCAAAAGTGTATATGAAATCAGGCTTGATTACTACTTATATTTGATATCTACCGTTTATAATTCAACGTCAAATACTGTATATACATTTGAAAGTTACTTTTACGTGTTCTTCTTGAATGAAAAAAAAATTATGAACTCAAACCTCTGTTCAATAAATGGAATAAAAATTATTTTTAAATGATAAATGTCACACCATTTTTGAAAAGAAAATTAATATTCATATTTTTTATTTTGGCATACGACATCTTTATATCATTCTTGTATTAATAGAGTAGTTTGTTTATTTATTTAGGTTTTCTCTTGCACTGATACAAGTAATTTCAGACAGTGCTTTGCTGTCTTTTATCCTTACAGTGTTTTGCCATAAATTATAATGCCCAAAAGCCTAGACCCCACCCCCACCCCACCCTGGGAAAAATTCCAGGATCAACACTTCATGAATGATACACTTTCCTGTCAAGAAACTTTCGATTCTCAATATATTGTGTTGTAAGTAAGAATTTAATAGAATTTAAATTAAGTTAGTTTAAAAACTACTGGCGTTTCTCTCTCTCTCTCTCTCTCGAGATTGAATTAGAGTAACACTATGCTACATAATGTGCAATCTTTAAACAATGAATGATTTTATGATTTCGAAGTGTCAGTATATATGTACATGTTTAACTTTTCTTTTTCATATTTTTCTGTAAGATATTGTACTAGGATTTACTTTGATCTAAGATTTTAACTACATTTAACATATTTGATATTTTATAACTTTTCATATCAAATACAGGTATTCATTTGCATAAAAATATATTACACCTGATCCACCATGTGAAAAATTTCACTTACATGATTAAACATCATTCAGATATAAGATATTTCATTTCAGATGTTCCTAAGAATCACCTGTTTTATTTCCTCCCTGTTCTGGGTGGGGGTTGCTACCCTTATCTGTTTATTTCGTGTCCTTAAGCAGGGAGGGGGATCTACTCAGCATGTTTAGGCTTCCACAACATTCGGATCCTCGCCCTTAACATTGATGACCTTCTTAAAATTAAATCTAGATCTTTGATCCGCTTAAGTATTCGATACCCTGTAGAAAGTGTCTGCTACTGAAATTTCACAATATTGAATTACTTGTCTCTCTCCTCAATTTCATATACTAATGTGTATACGATTACCCCCCCCCCCCCCCACACACACACACACACACAGATACTTATTTATTACATTCATTCAGATTGAAAATAACGGGAGATTGGGGAATCAGAATTTTTTCATAGGGCTTCACTGTGCTGCATGTCTGTGCTATAGATCACAGGTTCACACTACGTGAAACAGTGTTTCTCTGATTGAATAAAGTATATACATGTATGCAATGCATGATCACACTTTATACATGTACAGACACATTCGGTACCGTGTGCAAACCGTCATAAGATGTTTACTTAATATCGTGTGTAAAATGTATAGGGTTCTATTATAGCAGGGTAGGGAAGTATCACAAGAGATAACAATATACAAATGATTGTATATTCACTTTGCACACGGCACTATCTATTTACAATGTGTAAATTTCAACTGATGATTTATATGTATAGGGAGAGTATATCTTTTCTTTAAATTAGCAGTTATTTATGTGAGACGTTTTAAAATTTTAATCAATAATCTTGTAAATAGGAAATTCCTCATTATTTTTTCACTCTTTGATAAATATTCTTATGAATCTCGAAGTTTTGTAATAAAAGCTCAAGAATGTACTCAAAAGTGTATATTAAGAAATTAGGCATGATTTCTACATATAATAGAGATCTACAGGTAAACTTCAAATGGGTACAAGGTGTATGAAAGAGTTAAAGGGTACAAAATTACATTTTCTTCTTAATAATCAGAATTTAAGCGACTTAAGTGTCTAGAATTAATAAATTAATTATTTCTGTGCGATAAATGTCACATATTTTTTTTATGTATTCCTTTTTTTCTCCATTTTGACACATACATTGTAAAATTTATGAGAGTACATGTACATTCATTCTGTAAAATTCAACTTCAATTTATACATACATATATTATTCTTCTTTACATATAATGTATGGGCTTATTAGTATATATACGAAAGGTTTCCATGCAGGGATACAAGTAATTTTTATACAGTGCTACATGTATGCTGTGTCTTTTTCCGTACAGTGTTCCGCCACAGCTTATAAGGCCCGAGGGCGGATCCAGCAGGGAGGGGGCTATCGGGGGCGGACGCCCTATGATTCTTAGTGTTATTAAGAGTTACATAATGAAATGTCTCAATTGAGCCTCCGTCCCCCACCCCAAACCGCATAATTTCCAGGTTCCACACTTCATGCCATAAATGGTACCACTTCCTGTCGAGGAACGTTCGATTCTCATTATCGAACTGTAATATTTTGTCTTGTACAATTTAATTACAACATTATGGAAGAGTTTAATAGAATTCAGAATTACCCTGTAGTTAAAAATACCTTCTCTCCGCGCAAATGATAGAATTTAAGTAACAATGTGCTTTATACTTTATATTCTAGAAACAATAAATAATTCCACCGTTTTAGAAGTGTCAGTATATAGGTGTATTTTTTTTTTATACATTTCCCCGTAATATATTTTACATCTATGATATCCTTTGATTTAAGATTTTCACTACATGTGGCACATGACTCAATGATACCTTAATTCTTCACTTCAGATTTAAATGTATTATAACACCTGATTCATAATATCAAATTTTCATTAACATTACTATACAGTGTTCATACATGTTATTTTTCAGAGATTTCCTGCTATAGAATAACCAGTTATATCAGTGCCCTCCTCGTGTCCCTGTGCTGAGGCGGGGGTGGAGTATTACTAGATTTGTTTTGCCCTCGTCATGCGCGGATCGAGGAAGTTTGTGTGTGGTCCATAACCACTTTAGAAAAGACTTGAAAATTTAGAAAATTATTTGACCAGAAAATAAAATAAAAAAGAAATAAAAATTCTCCAAAGGGATTTACTTCGCTTATTTAGCCTTCTATAATATTCGGATCCTCGTTCACTAGCATGCATCATCTATCAAAATTAGAGCTAATAAAATCTTTGATTCCTTCATACCCTACGTATAGTAAGTGGGCACTTTTGAAAATTGTCAATATTGCATCTTGTGTGGCATCCCTCATCAATTTTATATACATTTGTACTAGTATACTATTCAACACATACTTGTACGCACACAAATATTACCCTTCAATGTGAGATCTAACTTCTTATAAAAAAAAATGTCACATACACATACTTCCCATCATTTACATTTAAATTTACATGTCAGAGTGGGGAGTCATAATTATTTTGGGGATTCGCTGTGTTGCATTACCATCATTCCCTTAAAGAAAATAAACCAAATAAACAATCACTCCATTTACGATATATTATGCATTTATTATTTTGTTCTTTACAATGGAATTCTGTCACGTGACCAGGCAGTCATTTTTTGCAGACGCAGTTACTGTCCGTACATTTACATGATTGAGGTCCAAGGCAGCCCTTTCCGCAAGCGCAGAGTCCTGCAAATTAAACAAAACATTTTTATTTAATTAATGAGTATATCGTAAATACTTGACAAGAATATATATATATATATATATATATATATATATATATATATATATATATATATATATATATATATATATATATATATATATATATATATATATAACAGACACATTTAATAGTCAAATAAATGCAACACAACCAGTGAAGAGAAAACAACCGCCCTCCCCCCGCCAAAATCTTTGTACAGTGTTAAGTTACATGTAGGTTCAAAAAAAAAGAAGAAGAAGAAGAAGAAGAAGAAATTTTGGCTTACCTTGGAAAAAAAATTGCTAGGCAATGATTTTTGTTGGTGCTTTTGTTTCAGTTGAAATACTGCCCGTTTGTCACATTTTTGAGAACAATAAAAATCCTACTGGTAGATATATGTGAATATGGTATTTTTTATATGCATATTTCTTTTTACATTGAGAATACCAACTTACCGTTGCAGTTGCAATTGACTTTACATCCGGGACACTTGCAGCTGGGTCCACATTTACATCCGCCCCCACATTTACATCCAGTTGATGGGCAGGTGGCTACGCACAAACAGTTTCCAGCTAGAAACATGTAAATCGTATAAAGAACGACAACTCGAACTATTCACAATCGGTATTTGGACAACGTACATGTATACAAGGAAATTCACATAACTTACTTTCTGAGCAGTTGCAAGGGTCAGACATTTTTCTGTGTTTTAGGGTGTTGTCTGAAAAGGAGAAAGTATAACTTATTTAATGCAATGATAGAAATGAAACAAATATTTAATCCCCCCCCCCCCCACATTTTTTCACCACACATACCGTATCGTAAAGCCCCTCCGTATTCAAGTAGTAAAATAGAACTTACTTTCTTGAGGAAAAAATATATATTCCTTGTACAAATTTCTAAGCGCTAATGAGTATCGATATCACTCCAGTTGAATATAGAATATAATACGAATATATGCACACGTTATACAAATATTCAGTATCGTGTGCAAAAATCAATAAGTTGTATATATACACAGCATCGTGTGCAAAATGTATAGAGCCTATACAATGATGGTTGATAAGAGGATGAGAATTAATGTAGCGGAGATGTATAAATATTTATATCTTACTGCAAACTTATTGAGTGTAATTACATATAGTCTCTGAAATTTGAACAGGAAAAAAGTTGGACTTTATATAATTATATTTTCAAGACGTTCTCTAAATTATTCACTGACTGTATCAATTATTTTTTAAATGTCGAAATCACATGGTGTGACCAACTTCCTGTTCTTGGCAAATCTCCAGACAAGTATTTTTAGCTTGATTTCTTTTTTGGACTTTATTCAAATGATGATAAAGCGTAAAGAGCTTCAGAATTATGTCTCATGAAATAAGTTAAATATACTTAACCGTGTACCGCGTGTCGATTGTAGTAAGTTTATTTCATGTATTATATGTATTAATTTATTTTACTCTCTCTCTCTCTCTCTCTCTCTCTCTCTCTCTCTCTCTCTCCAGCAAAAGAAATAAACAAAAGAAAAGAAACAAAATAGAGAGAATTATCCCAAACACGGAAATATTCTTTCGTGGTGCTTTTTTTTTCTTGGATGGGGGCATTTAAAAATACATTACCATGGGAGAATTTGACTAAGCTGCGATAAAAAATCAAAGTACTGAAAGTACTGAAAAGCGGTTAGCATGCTTTCAAGATTGACCAAAAAAAAACTTTGCATGAAATGATATTAAAGTACATATAGCTGTTGTTCAATTGATGTCATCAGAGAATCAGAGTAAAAGCAGACATTCCGAACTTTGGATTATTTTACTAAATAACAAAACCAATAACTTTCCATTCGTACACCTAGACATATTTTTTATCGATTGATGTCACAAATGCATGTTTAAAATATCAAAACGTGATTTCCTGAGTTTGAAAGACAGAAAGTGCAATTTTTAAAATTCACTTTCGGTGGCGACCGGAAGTGCTCAGTAAGAAAAAAAAGTAAATTGATGTAGATTTACCTGTCATGCTGTATGGTTTCTGAAATCAGGTAATTGTTAGGTTGCTAGCACACAATTTAAAAAGAAAAACTTGTGATAAATCAAAATTTTTAGATATATGAATTTGGAGTAGCTGCAGATCTTTAACTCGCTGGTCTAATAAAATTGGGATAGATGAAGAGATTTTGTCAGTGTTTTTTCGGAGACCTTCAGTTCTGTAGCTTTAATCTGAAGAAAAGTTGAACTAGTCGGTTCAAAACAAAACAAGTACTTTACACACGGCGGGTGTGACCGGTCAACTGCGGATGCTTACTTCTCCTAGACACCTTATCCCACCTCTGGAATTTTCAGAGGTCCGTGTTTTATGCCATTTTAACATATTTGTATTGTTTATATTGTTGATAGTTTGAGGTCAATCACTGTTCGTTATCTTTACCTTTTACATTTAAATGTTGGGGTTCATTACTGCAGGGATTCTGTATTTTTGAGGTACTGAGTACTTCCGTTTAGTATTATGTGCTATTACGGTACTACCCTCACTGGAAGACGGACAAGTAAACTAAATAATCAAGTGTTAAGAAATGTACATTACTGACCATGCAAACCATTTAAATGTTCAAATGAGTAAATGGTATGTATGACAAGAATTTAAAATTAAAAAAAAAAGGTCTTGCACAATATATATAGGGACAATACTGAGTTATTGGCATATACTTTTCATGCAATGCTCTTGATATCAAAGAAAACGTAAAAAGAAAAAGTAAAGTTGTTATCTAATCCAACTATACTAGAATTTATTATTTCACATGTACATTTAAAATCATTGTTTGATAAACAGATTTTGTCATTCGCAAGAATTTTCCAGTTAACAATGTCACTTACTTCAATGTTCAAATTAATATGTTAGCAAAGCAATTTACATCAATTTGATATTTTTTATTTATAACAGTATGAATTTCTATTAAAATGCCTACACTTGTATTTTTCTTTTTATTCACAGAGATTCAAAATAAAAATTATAATAAAGTTTGAACAAATTAAAAAGAAATATGTTTACAACTTACATATTTTTCAAAAGACATTTAACAAGTTCTGAAATAAAAATTAATTATTATTTAAAATTTTTGTTAATTGCCAAGATTTTTTTTATCACTCTTTCATTATATATCTTTTTAAAACGTTCTCAGCTAGATCTTTGCATATTTTAAAAAGGTTGATGAATTTTAGAAGAGGATCACAATGGCGATTAAAGCCTTTAGAGGTTTTCTATTTTTTTTTTCTTATTTTAACTTTTTTCAGTTTCCGATAAAAAAAATTTCCCCCAAAAATAAAAGTATGTATTCGTTTATGATTATAATAAAAAGAGTACAGAATGTGCTCCTGTGAGCTAAACTTTTATTATCTTTTAATTAGAGAAGAAATAACTTTTTATTATGAAAGTAATTCCATTGTTTCTATTAAAATAGTTGTACAAAAAATTTGAAAAACTTAAAATGTATTTAATGCTTTTAATAAAAGCTTTTTTTCCCATATATTTCTTCACTTAATAAAAAGTATATCTATAACTACTTCAGGGTAAACTCGCATGAGAAAATCAAACGAGAGTCTCGCCGATGTTTTGCAGTCGGTAATATCCTTTAACCCCTTTAGTCAGCAATGAACCCGTCCATCCAGTGCCCATCGAGGCATAATTGGGTCAAATAATTATGGCGGTCTACATATTGTTCATGAGGGGTGCTATATAGACCTAGTTGATGCAAAATCGTTCAACTCCCAAAAATAATCACGACTGCAGGATTTACCGACGAGTTATACTCTGCAAGTAACCCCTAAAATTTAAGCCGGGCGATTATCTCGGGTGTTAGCCTGTCAGAGTCAGATAGGCAGTAGAGGTAGCGATGGTAAACAGAGCATAGGTAGCGCTTTGACGAAGCTTCCGGTGTTGCATAGGTAGCGCTTTGACGAAGATTCCGGTGTTGACAAAAATTGCGTAAGACCTTTGGTTACATGACATAAAGCGATTAGCGTATACGCTAACCGCTTAAAAAGGGGGGGGGGGGCAGTCATACTAAATTTACCGTAAAAAATCAACCCCTGCCTCCCCCAAAATACTACGTGTCTGAGGATGCAACACATTTATTCGATCAAATACATTTATGACCAGTACCTTTTGGTCCTTATTTTGGCTAAAAATCTCCTATAGTACACAAAGGCTTAATAATATACCTTAAGCCAGAATTTCAAAGTTTTTGTCCACAAAACTTTTAATAAGTTTTATTAATAATTATTATCATATATCTATAAAATTCGAAATTTCTTTAAAGCCCCCCCCCTCCCCCTTGAACTATAAAAATGCCAGGGTTTCAAAGTTTTTGTCCACAAAACCTTTAATAAGTTTTATGTACATGTATATCATATATCTATTAGCGGGAAAAAAATTCGAAATGGCTTTAAAACCCCCCTCCCTCGGAAAAAATTATATTATGGCTCTATTCTGGGAAAAGGAACTTGGTCATTATCATTTATACACGTGTCTAGTATTCTTCGTTTGCTTTTCAATTCAGATAGACCCGAATAGAAACAGAGCCAGAGGAGAAGAGAGGCCATTCTTTCTCTCTTAAACAAATATGTGATATATTCTCCGTTTTTTCGAACAGTATCTGCAGCATGTAGCTTTCCAAAAAAAAATTGACAGACCGGAGAGCTACAGTGCCACCCATAAAAAAATGTATATTTATTGCGCACAAAAAGTTGCGCTCGATTCTGAATCTATTAATCTCCAGTCTTACCTCAACTGCACAAAAGCTCGACTTCAAAAAATTCCTTTGCCTTCTAACAAATTCTCTCGTAGTTGACATCTGCACGAAGCGTGTTGGACCGAATTTTCTTGCCACCCAAAATGGCTTTATAAATAGACGACATTTTCTATTTATGGTTTTAATGTAAGGCAATTTCTGTTTGCAATCATATTTAACAAAACCTATTGACAAAAAATTTAAACAATTATTAACAAAATTTAGGTTATCAAATCATACGTTGAATATTGAAATAGGTCGACACCGTAACATACATGTACCTAAGATTAATAGATTACGTATATGTTGTAATCTCCATGATGTAGAAGACGAATTTCATTTTATTTTGAAATGCCCTTTGTATAACGATCTATATAAGAGAAAAAAAATTGGAAAAGTATCATTATATTAAGCCTAGTGTCTTTAAACTTATTCAACTGTAAAGTACTAATAATTATAAAATTCTTTTAAATTTGGGCAAATATATTAAAATCAACCGTAGTATCCATTAAAATACATATTTGAATGCACAAATTCATGTCCAGACCATCTTTAAATAATTGTTGGTAGCCCTCTCCCGACCGACTGGCTGAAAATGGCCTGACTAAAAACTTTATCCTTCCGGAAGCACTTATTTTTATATGCATTCTTGAAAACAGATTTTGAAAATTCAGCCTTGAAATTAAAATTTTCTGAGAAAAAAAATCTAACCTACCTAACGACCCAATTTTTTTCATCCTAAGTCGGGAGAGGGCAAACAAACATCATTTTAAAGTTGGCCCCAGGTATTGTGATTCTGTTTAATTTGGTTCTAGCATGAAATAGATTTTGATTTTATCGTTGTCGCTCCCGCTACGCTCCCACATACACCTCTGGCAACGCATTTTTAAACGGCTAAAAATTGAAATTATGATCATGATTAATTTTTGTAATTATCGATAAAAATGATAATTTATCAATTATAAATCTATCTTTCTTTAACTGTTTAAAACGATTTATTTTCAAAAGAAATATTTTGCGGAGTAAAACGGAGTAAAAATTTATAACAATTAGAAAAAAATCTTTTAAGGGATGACAGATTAAAAATAAATCCTTTTTACTGAAAATAAATATAATTAAAAACGATTTTGATACAATTCTTCACCATTTACAAATTTTGTAAGAGTTGACAGAGGTGTATGTGGGAGCGTAGCAGGAGCGACAACTCTGGATAGAGAATGTGATTTTATTCGCATCGACTTAGTTCAGTACTGTCTATACTAGTAGTTATACATGAAGTGAGCAATGGCCACATCTGCTAGGAAACCCCAATTACCCTAAGGCAGATCAGCTTCAAACGCACCTTAAACAAGTCGAAAGATGCAAAAGTATTTTTTTCAAACTCTCTTCTCTAACAGCAAACAATAGAAAACGTATTAATTTGAGAATCAAGTCGGCGAAAATATTGAACTTGTTTTACTCCAGAGAACACAAAAAGGATAATCGAGGAAATAGGGGGAAAATGAACTAATTACATTTGTTAAATTTTATTCTTGTAGGATTTATCGGTACGTTGAATTCTCAATATAGAGTATAATCTATACAAACGCTGGTTGTTTGGAAATTATTGACAGAGACATTTACTTTTACTCCACAAAGGAAAGAGATTTTGTTTTTTAAACCTAAAATTTATTATTTACCATTTTAAAGTTAACCTTCACAGTTGGCCAAAACAGCATTTTGTCCGTTGAAGCACTGATTTTTGCATGATTTTGGCCTAGAGGTCCTTCAGGGCAGGTCTGCCCCTAAAAACATATGATATTTTGATAGTATGTGATGTAAGGAATAATTTAAGATAGGAATTTTTTACAGGCACCACTGCCCTAGGGTCGAAATCCACAAAAAAACTTACAAAAAATAAGAAATCCTGTTTTCGAAAACCTGGCTCACATTTATACCTGTTATTTTCAAAGCCAGAATATCTCGATTGGTGAAACAGCTAAGTATTAACACAGCAGATTCTTTTTTAGATCCGTGGTTCGAATCCACCTGGTGCCACACTTTTTTGTTTTAAATTCTTGCCTTTTCAACGATTATTTTAATTTTTATAGGGTTTTCAATATTCTCCTTCAATTATCTATCTTTTACGCATTTTCATTCTTGATATAAAAGACACTAAAGAGAAAGTAAATTCCATTGTAACTAAAAAGTAAAAATCAAGCGGAACTATACCTCAGTATAGGAAAAGAATTATTATTTTCAATAATATGTTTTATGTGAGCATTTCGATTCACAAGGTATATAATGTAAATGTATACATGCTTAGTTGTGTAGCATTTGATCTAAAGATTACATGTACGATGTGGTGGATCTAAAGTTACGTATGTACTTGTTCTATAATCGTTAACCAATCATGTTACGGGATCTACAAGGTTAATTTTATACGTCAACATCAGCAACCATTTATAATTGTTCATTTTGTCACGTATCATTATCTTTGTCTATGGCCGTGATTGAGTAAAGACTCATTGAGAGTCAAGTCTGATCATGAAGTTCTTTGTTTATTATGGCAAAGAAAAATACCAAAGCTGCGGGACAGGAAGTTTATCCACCTTTTGATTTAATTTGTAATAAAATAATTTGAGAAATGGCGAGCATAAATTTACTGTATTATATAAATTCACTTTGTGTTACTCGATACAACCTGTATTCTCGCCTGCACTACTAGTACACGTCTGCATTATTGCGCTGAAAGGTATACGTATACTTCTTGTATTTTCTGAGTTTAATATATTTAGAAATATATACATGTACTGAGTCAATGTTCTAATTTCATATCTCAGGTTTTCAAACAGGAGGATTACATATCAGTATCTGCACTCCCTTGGATTTCATAAATAGGGAGATGGGTGAACATGACGAGCGATAAGCCCATAGTGTGACAAACATGAAGATGAAAAATTAGATTTCAATTATATTTAAAATTTTCCTTGATATATAGTTTAACATTAAAATATACTTTATGTAAAATCTCTATAATTTGCAAAAATCCCCCAAAGATTGAAATTATTTGCCTGTGAAATATTAGACACACACTAAAGAGGGCAAAAAGAGTCATTTTCTCATACTATAATACTATTTTTCGATATGAGTGGGTCTTCGCTCCACCTTTTTGAAAGTTAATCCTCAAAGTTTGCATAAAAATATACATTTTTTGTTTACCAAAAATCTGGAGCAATGACCCACAAAACCTTAAAAATATACTTCTATGACATAACATTCGCATCTTTTCGAGAAATACTTAAGTCCATTAAGTCAAGGGTCATATCACAAACATGATTTAAATGCCACTCTTCATCAAGACTTGTGTAGTCTAGTGGTTAGCGTGCTAGTCTCGAAAGAAAATAATACTCAGGATTTTTATTGCTAGAGTTCGAACCCCACACAAATTTTTTTAATAAAAGAATAAATTTTGCTGAGAAAATTTTCCTCAGAAAAGTTTTGTTTATCATAATTTCACAAATTTCAATAATGAGAACTTAATGTACTCTAAATACTAAATTCACAAACTGAACATGACTTTTATATACATGTATCTGAAGCTCTAGGCTCTCTGCACGCTATGTTCGCCCATCTCCTTTGTATACATTAACGGCATGTTTTTTATTATATTCACAGAGATGCATATGTGTTGTATAAAATTAACACATATCAAGAAAAGACACATAGACATTACCATTATTTACAATGAAAAGTAAGGGAAAAATCAAGTAACATTTCGAGATATCAAACTCGAAGTTCCAAACTCTATTTATAAAGAAGTGTTCCTTTCCAGAAAAATCACATGTACATATACTAGTACTACAAATAACATGACAGATGTAACTGGAAAATCTATTTATTTTATTATCTAACTGGAAAATCTATTTCTTTTGTTCTTTGGTTTTGAAACATGAGATATTCCTGACTATTCAGGACTATTATTTAGTCACTTTCTGCAGCTACAGTCATTTGCGCATTTGCAAGATTCAGGTCCGGTGCAGCCTTTTCCACATCCGCAATTACCTGCCAAAAAAGAAAGAAATTTTGAACATTTTTTTTAAAACAATACCGTGCATTAAGGTATTTGATGAATAACAGAGGGATATTTGCTAATTTTAATATATTTTCAGCTAAATTAATGCTTATGAAATGATATTGAATGAACAACAATTGCATCGCAAAACGGAGCATCCCCTCGCAAAATAGCATATATCAATCCCTATATAAATTATTATTGCGTTACGCATGAACTTACTCACCCCCACCCCCACAAGTACGTTACTGTATCCCCTCCAACTTCCTTGCGAGGGGATAACAAGAACAAACAACAGGATCTAAAAGAATTCTTTAATTAGCATTCAGTGTTAATTATAAGAGTATACTAGTACTGTTATTTCCCCTTGAAAAATCTCTTAAAAATTTCTCTAAAATTTGCATGATGACCCATATGCATTTCAATATTAATAAAAAATTATGAAGAATATTTTATGGACCTCTAGACCAAATGCTTCTTTTCTAAATATCAATTTCTATAAATTTTATTTTTTAAAATGACACTTTGCCCATAGGCATCTCTATCATTGTACGATAAAGAACCAATTCAGGGTATATAAATGCAAAAAGTTGCTTCAAATAGCCAACTGAACATTATACAGGGTTTTTTTTAAGGTCTTACATGTAAAATCAAGGGCCCGGGCCTTTCCATTTGGGAAAAATAGAGACATTTGGTTGAAACTGGGAAAATATTTCACATATTTCTGAATTCTAAATTCAATTAAGAGTTTTTTTTTTCATTTTCAAGTTATTAACTTATTTTGAATTCAGTCGATCATTTTTATTATACCGAGTTTGGACATTTTTTTTTAACGATATTTGTTTGTTTTGGTTGTTTTTTGTGAATTTTCTTTTCTGCATGAAATGGGGAAAATAACATACTTTTTGCCATTGAAAAATAGGGCAGAATACAGGCTTCCTACAATCGACCCCTAAAAAAACCCTGGCCGAGGTGTGCCGAGTGGGAACCATGCATTTCTTTGAAAGGCGAGGTTTTATTTTTCTTTTCATATCGGGAAAATGAACTTTTCTTCAATATTCCATGCATTAAGTTGAAACGCATGGAAGTAAAAATATCTGAATGAGTGAAGTGACATGACGATTTGCATTGAAATAGTATTTATTTTTTAAACATTATATTATGGCTAAGTATATACGAAATTAGCTGCAATAATGTAGCCCTCCGATTTTTTTATCTGATTTTTTCAGGAGAGGCACAGGCACTTGTTTCGGTAATAATTTTTCAACCCATAGTATGATGGTAACACAAGGTACATAACTCCCGGTCTCCGAATTACATGGAATATCCCCCTCCCCAGAATCGCATTCATTTACACTTTCAGAGGAAATGCACTGGCGAACTGTTTATTAACATTGTCAGACGGCTAGACAGACACAGCTGAGGCCTGTTCAACAGTGCGAACGTTCGCGAGCGCTCGCCAACATTTCTGTTGAAAGGATAAGGAATTTAGGCGAGCGCTCGCGAACGTTCGCTCTGTTGAACAGGCCTCTGGTCAGACAGACGAACGGACGACGGACACCCTACTATCCCATAAGCTCTTCCGGTCTCTGACCAGTAGAGCTAAATAATCGGAGAGGGCTACATTATTGCAGCTAATATCCTAATACGAAATCAAAGAGAGGTTTAGAATTTAAGTCGATCTTTTAAATTATAGATATGATGTTACAACGGTAAAATGTGTTAGCCACGTGAAAAATATTTGGTCACGTTTTTGTAAAATGACTTTTCTATGCTAAATTGTCATGTCTATCTATTTTTCGATATTGTTGCAAAAATCTCTTATCTGTATATAATGAATAAAAAAAATCTTAAACTTAAAAATATCTTGGTTAAGCTTCTTTTACATGTATTTTGATTTATGAAACACTATACATTTTCCTTCATTTGATTCTTTGTTTTGATATTTATGTATCGAATACCTTAAGTATCAAGGAAAATGTCTCGAGCCACGGTCCGAAGTCTGCAAATAGCCCTCTCCAAAATGGGAGAGGATCGTACATTTTAGCCTTGGTTTGCGACGATGCAAAGAAATTAATCATGTTGCGCAAATCTAAATAATTCATACATATGTACATGTATCTTCAAAATCAATCAATTTAATTCATATGAAAAAATTCAACTCACCGCTACAGCTGCATTTCACTTGACATCCGGTGCACTTGCATCCAGTTCCACATTTACATCCGGGTCCACATTTACATACACTGGATGGACAGGTTTGACTTGCCCAGCACTGGCACATTCCACCTAAGAAAAATAACACCCTTGATCAAAGAGCGATAACTCTAACAATTTTCATGTCAGACGTGTGCTAACTGTTGCGTATATTAAAAATACAACTAAATTATATATGTTTATGTAAGTAAAAAAGAATAAATTTAACCACATAAACTTTCATTTTTCATTCAAAGTTTCTCAAAAAAGTCCTATGAAGCGATACAAAATTGTATAGATTCATACGGATGGTGCCAGAAAGGAAGAAATTTGAACATCATAAAAAGTTTACATTTATTATTTTTTTCTTTTTTTAGAGATACGATTTATGTATCATTTACTACAAAATATATTCAAAAATACATGTATACAGGAATATGTGCATTCATCTTTTTGTCATGGGTCCTAATCAGCTGGAAATATCAAATTGAATACTTACTTTCTCGGCAATTGCATGAGTCAGACATTTTTTCTTCTTTATTGGTGGATACCTTCTGAAAGAAAGTTAAAACTAAGCATTCAATTTTTACATAAAAAATTACACTCCTACATGTATACACATGGTCTGCATGGTCGCTCACTTAAGGTCAGACGACACGTTCCTCACAAAAAAAATGAGGTATCTTACCAGGCATTAGTGTAAGATACCAGAGGATGGTGTTTCTGATATTTATGTTCCCCAAACGAAGTTTGGGAACATATTGTTTTTACTCTGTTTCTTCTTCTTATTATTATTATTCTTTTTTTCTACTTTCTTCTCCGGTACTTTTTTGTCCGGGAGTGTTCTCATAGAACCACTCATCCGATTGACATGAAACCTTTTTAGGGTTAATAGGCATGTTGTGTAGGTGTTCGGAACGAAGGTCATTTTGCGCGCACATGCATGCACGTGCGCGCGCGTGCAATGAGTGAAATGACTGATATACTCGATGAAGCCGTAACTTTTATATTCCTTGAAGAATTGCTTTGAAACTCAAAATATAAAGATATATTAGTAGTCTAGACAAGATAACATGGTCAAATTAGCGTGAACTCACGCGCATGCACGTGCGCTCTTCTCTGATTGGCTGATACAAAAATCTCAATAATTTCCTTGTTTTTTGACAAAATACTTTGAAATTTAGAATATAAGTATATATTACAAGGTGCTACAACATGTTGTATAGGAAATTTCTTGAAAACACGCGCATGCAGGTGTGCTGCAATCTGATTGGTTGAAACTTTGAACGTCCATAACTCCCTTGGTTTTCAACAAAACAGGATGAAATTTACGACATGGATAGGCACATAGAGCTCCTACATTATGATACTATCAAAATTGAATGCAAGGCAATGCATGCGCGTATGCTGTATTCTGAATGGCTAATACTTAAAGGGTTACATCTCTCTTATTTTTCAATGAAATTCTTTAATATTTAACACAAATGTATGTATTGTGACACACTATAAGAAAATTACTGTGAAAAATGTAGAAAACATGTGCAAGCACATGCGCTGAAATTTGATTGGCTAATACCCATATGGCTATATCGGAGTAGTTTTCCAATGAAATACCCTTAAAAATAAAGTGTCCATCTATATTACAAAAATATTGTCTAATTTATTGAAGCTTGTAGGGAATGGGGCATCATAAGGGATTGGGGAGCCGTTTGGGGAACATCTGTAACGGTTCCCGTTACAATTAGCACTAGTTCCTATTGGAAATAACTTGAATTGCCAAAATCATATTTTTTTAATTTCGGCATTTTACCTTTTTAAAACATTTTGAAAACAGTTTAGAAATCACAAGATAATGATAATTAATAATATTTTATATACATTACGAAGAGATATAAAAAAATTAAAAATGAATTCAAGTAACGTGTGGTCTGACCTTAAACTGTTAAAATTAGTTATGTCCATTTTTTTTTGTTATAATTTACAATATTCACAACAAATTTTTACATCTAAAATTAAAAGATTAAAAAGAGCATACCTTACCCTTTACACAACCAGTCTGTTGGAGAATTCGGCGCCAAATGAATGAGGAATAGAACGTGAGTTCCCACGAAATATTTAGTACTGGGTGCAAAGGGTCTGTTGGAGTAAACGGAGTCGTGTGCAAACTGTATCAGTGAGTCAAAATAAAATTACATAATAGCCAAGAATTCAAAACATCACAGGTTTGATTGAAATTAGAATGACGTTGAACTCGGGCCCGTAGGAAATAATTTATGTGGAGGGGGGGGGGGGACAATATCATCAGTTTATGTGAGCATAATCAAAATTCCTTGACAAGCAAAAAAAAGGGGATCAAACGTAATCATTGAGGGGCACATCCATAAAGCAGCTTATTTTTTTTTTAAGTCATGCACTATATATCGGCAAAATTAATTGGAGGAGTACTATACATGTATATATATCGGCAAAATTAATGGGAGGACCCACCTACCCCCTTCCCGGTTCCTATTGCCATGGAACTCGGTTTGATTGGGGAATCACGTAAATAACCTTGAATAATTCACGAATAAATTAATAATAAAATTTCAAAGCAACTTTATTTGCATGCTTTAAAGATTTCTTTACTTAACGCATTCTGTGGAAGATTTAGGATCAAGATCTAGTAAATGAAAAGTGTTGTCACTTTGCTTTTCTGTTTCTGGTCTTAATGTGTATGTGGTTTTTTTTAACCTGAATATGGGGAACGTAAATTAATTTTATGCTTTAGTGGGGAATTCTTTATTCCATATTTGGATTTGCTCTACACGAACGCAAAAACCAGGTTTGGCTTGCCCTCTACAGAGGCTGTAAATAGAATAATATATACTCATCTAACAGTGTCTACCAAAGTTCATTCATTGAAATAGTCGATGGAAGTCACCAACTTTGGGCGCATTCCCGCGTCTTTGGATAACAGGATTTTAGCCAATCAAAATCCATTATTCCTTTTTGTGAATACCCGAAAGTCCGAATAAAGAACATTGATTAATGTGTCATAAAGAATGACCGCAACCTTAATTGAGATAATTTGAACACCTCTGCTTGACATCAGACCCTTAGGCCTTCTTAACAAAAAGAAAATCACAAAACAGGCTAAAAATTAATACCATTACATAATCATTTCATTATAAGACATTGACCATCTGACTCTTAATAATAAAGTTCTCATGTAACATTGTTTGGGTCTTGTAGCATGATACCCCCCCCCCCCTCATAGTTTTTTTTCTATCAGAAAAATGGGTTCGGGTTAAAATTCCTCCCATTGGCGGAAAAATCGCCCCCAGCACATTGTCCTTTCAGAATTTTATCAAATAAACACTGCAATATGACTAATCCGCATTTAATTTACGTGTTTTTTTTCTTTAAAAGAAAAGGTTCATATAATTTTGTGGGCACATGTTTCTTTTAAGACTGTGCATGCTTGCATTTGATTTATACATGTACATGCATTTTTTTTGCGGAAGTATGACCAATTATTATGTGTATATAGTACTTTTTTGTATTGCATTACATACAGATTATCATTAGTATCTTTGTTCTCCATTTCTTTCTAATCTTTTTTTTTCCTACCTGGGGATGGAGGTGGGGGATAGGGTACATATTTAAAACTAATATAAATCTAGTAACTCTGTATTTCCTGGGGAAGGGGGGGGGGGTACTGACTAATAATATTGACTGCATATGCATTATTTTAAAGTCACTATTGTGTGATATTTTGTTTATTTTTCTGAAATTTTAGCTTTCAGGGACGAAAACAATTGGAACAAGGGGGAAATAAGTCATATAATTGCAAAGTTTATTTGATAAAATGAAATTTGTCAGAAAGGACAAAGTTATAATGAATGACTATTTGTGGAATATTTATTGTTAAAATATAAGAGATTCATTGTAAGTTACATATTTATAAATCAGTTTAGAAGCTGAATTTTTTCTCTTAAATTTTTTAGGTTTTTATGAGACAGTAAGAAGTAGTAGATCAGATTAATAAACTAGATGAAATTTTATTTTTGATTCTTGGACAAAAAGAAGGAATGTCTTTGTCCAAAAGGAAAAAAACTAGACATTTTGCAACGTAAATATAGCATTGTAAAAGTAGAATGAAAATTGAAAAATGACTTTGGACCCCCCCCCCCCCCAGAAAACGTGGACCCCATCATCACCACCACGAAATAGGTGTTTTTCATACATAAAAAAATTCGCATAATTCTGTAAGGAAGAACGAAGAAGTAAATTGTATATAGGTGATGAGTTGTTTGTATTTTCTCTATAGGGTTTCCTTTTATCTTTTATACCTAGTGCTAAAATCAATATCAGATAAGTGTCCTTCATTAACCCATTGTTAGAGGATTATCCTTACTAGTGTCCTTTACAAAAAAATTGATATTTCGTGTGCAAAATTTGTACATGACAATTTTTTTGTCATGTACAAATTTTGCACACGAAATATCAAAATTTTTGTAAAGGACACTAGCGTCAGGTCAGAAATCAAGGTAATGGTCAGTGTCAAATGCCATGTACCACGTGTTCTAGACTTAATCAGATTAATTTTTCTTTCTTCAAACTTATTCTTTTAACAAAGAGCTCTGTTTTGATTCATTGGCTGCCCAGGGAAGCGCGGGTCTCCGATTTGGACGGTGTCCCTATCGCCCATTCTTAAAACATTGCTGTGATATGTATGCCATTCCTTTGTTCTTGCTGATCAGTCTAATATTAAGTGTAATATCAGACTGTCTAAGTATCCCTCAAAATCGGACTGTTACTGGACAAAAGAATTTAAAATGTGATTATTTAAGCAAACAGCAAATGAATGTTTGATCTTATTGACGTGTGCAAAATCATTTTAATTAATTAAAACAGAATATTATTTACTGATCAAACTGAATTGGAAAATTAAAAAAAAATGACTTCCAGTTCAAAGAATATACTAAAATAGTAAACTATAAAATAAAACATGAGCTCTTTGAACTTATAATGAACTTGTCAGACTTAATTAAGTGATGTTTTCATTCAGAAATTATCTTATTCTGGGTTTTTATAAAGCAGAGTTGTCTGGTTAATCTGTCATTTTAATCATACATTTAGAAGAATTCTACTTCTAGTAACAAAAAATTATCTATTACACATGCAATCCTTTGTGAAGTTATTCTCAATGTCTGTACTTCGAAATTAATATCCTTCAGCATCGATTTTATTTTCTGTGTTTGTTCAAGTCAAATCAAAATTCCAGACTGCATTTTCCTTTCAACCCCCCCCCCCAAAAAAAAAAAACATTTATAGACTTCTGTATCATAACCCAATGCATACATATTCTGATTTAAGGGTATTTTACCCCTACTCCCCAATCCCAGCAATAACATGTATATAATAATTTTAATTGTTTACCTGATTCAAAAAAATACTGAGTAGTTTTCATTCAAGCATGCATTCTGGAAGAATTGCTTTAATGGTCATTAATACTTTAAATTTTGTCTTTTGTTATAATAGCAGACTGTCTCAGGTAAATAAAAAAGCAATGTTTTAAGTACGATATATGCCTCATATAATTCTGTATGAACAAGAGAGTATTGCGTTAGCAATACTAGTCCCCTACCGGCAAGTGTAATCTGGTTCCCGTTAAAAATTGAAAATGCCTTAATTCCGTCAAAAATCAATGAAGCGGAATGAAATGCAAACTTGATCTATAACTCATTAAGGTAAAGTCACATACCAAAAATCAGCTCAATATCTGCAAGCGTTTAGAAAAAAAGTGCAGATGATACAAACAAACTTTTATCAAAAATTTTGAAAATAACGACTATAGTCATGTTTATTTAAGTAAAATGACTAAGTTAAACCACATAGATTTAATTTTTTACTCAAAGTTTCACAATAATGTGATTTTAGGTGAAAAAAAATAGGTTAATAAGGAGGGTTGCAGAAAGGTGGAATTTTGAACATCAAAGAAAGTTTACAAATTCTTAATATTTTAGAAATTTATTATTTGCATCATTTACAATCCAAATAGATCCAAAATTATATACCAATCCAGGTATCCATTTTTTTGGTTTGTGTCATCTGTCCTTAATCAACAAGCGTCATTTGTTGATAGTAATCGTGAATTTTGGCTTCATCTCCTAATTTGTAAATAGCAATTACATGTATGTATACGAATTGCATTTACTAGTAGTGGTTTTTCGTTCATACTGACAAAAAGACTAACATTTCAATTAACGCGTCATTCTATGTACATTTACAGGAGATGTGTGTTACTATATTGTATATCTATATGCAATCATAAAAATCTGTCTGAACGAACCAAGGATATTAGTAATTTTGATGTTCTGCACAAGAGAACCATTTACCGGATTTTTTTTTTTACCAGGTAATTCAACTGTTTATCAGCTTATTGAGACAAACGATTACATAGTTAAAGCTATAGATGATGGGGAAAAAAAACTTTTTTTTCTTCTTTTTTTTTGTGATTTGTCTAAGGCATATGATTGGGTATGGCATAAAGGTCTTCCTTTTAAGTTACACACGTATGGTTTTAGTGATAAGTTATTACTACGGTTTCAAAGTTATCTAGATTAAGAACACAAAGAGGGTCGTAACATAAAGCTTGCTAAGTTTTTGACTTAAGTAGAGTCATAAGTATGTTTTAGGTGCAATCTTAAGACCTGCCTAAGTACTACTTAAGTATGTCTTAAACCGTAACATAAAACGGACTTAGGTAGGTCTTAGCTAAGTCAAACTTATGTTTAGAATATTTGTTATGAATCATCCTAGTTTTTCAATTTATTTATATATATATTTGTAAAAATGATTTAGTAACGTTTTTAATCACATATATATTAAAGCTGACGTTCTTACCTATCGGATTTAGCTAGGTTGGATTAATTTCGTATTTAATTAAAGTTAATTCTGTTTAAATTATTGGAAATACAATGTATTTGAAAACAAATATTGCACGGTCACAAAATGGCACTAGTGTTTCATTGTAAACGCGTGAATATTGTTTATCACTTGAGACTGCGAT